AAGTCCTTCAGATCTTTCTGCACTGTCCCTATCCATGTTCTCTTTGGTCTTCCAACCGGTCTTTTTCCAGGGATCTCTGACTACTAGTTGATGTGTTAAATTATGGCTTTGCAGAGGCTTTGCCTTACGTAGCTGAAAAGTAAACAACCACCTCAAAATGAAGATAGACAGAAGTAAACTGAAGAAAAGCAGTTCGGAAGTGGTAAGTATATTTTCGGTTCAACGTACATCCGTCAGCCAACGGTGAATCCTATTTGTTATCGAAGCTTAGTCGTTATCACCTTCAACAGCCTTGGCCTTACATCGGTAAACTTAATTCGTCCTTGTCTGATGCATTTGCTATCTCAGCAACTCGGGGTTAATACAACACACTCTTCAACAACACGGGTAAGTCTGGCAACAGATCTATCTCAGGGGTAGAAATAAGGAGAAAAAAAGAGATGGTCCACAGGACCATCTAGTTTGAAATTTAGATGGTCCTCCTTTAATTATTCAATGTATCAAACGATACAGTAATTGTTTATTCACTTTAATAGTATATTGGAATGTGGGAACTTCAAAGGAAATTACCATAAAATGGGACCAAAATATTCAATGGTCCGACGTGTTCAATGGTCCGTCGGACCATTGACTTTGAAAATCTGATGGTCCTCCTGATTATTTGATGGCCTCGGACCATCGCTTATTTCGACCCCTGTAAAAGTTTATCAATGACTCCAATAAAATATGCAGTTAGTACTGATAGATGGATATAAGTTAAAAAAACAGTACCTATGCTCATGATCGATTAACCGTCGTACAATCATCTTCACTGCGTATCATCGCATGGTTAGCAGTTTTGCAAATAAGTTTAAAAACACTCCCATGCAATCCTGATTTCGAAAATTTCGATGCCCAATATAAAACCTATAATAAAATCCGTGAATATTTGCTGGTCAAAGCCGTGACGACACATTGGCAAAACATGCTAGAACATACGATGAATAAGCTTTTGTTGATATTTCCAGTTATTCGATTCCATTTCGTGTACACATGTCACATATATGCTCGACAAGTAAGCTAAGCGGTTTAGCGACGTAAAAAGGAGAATTTGGAGGGAGGGAGGGGAGGGAGGGAGAGAAGGAAGCGAGAGAAGGGATGGAGGTAGAAAGCTCAGATTTGGCATTCGAGGGTGGCTTTGCGAGTTTGTGGCTTCGTTGCGACGCGTCGTGTGATTTTTCTCTTGCAGCCGCAGGACTGCAAATCTCTGATAGAGAAACTGAAGGAATGCAGCAGCGGTGACGAACTACTGGAGCACATCAACAATGTCAAGACGTGGAATTTTGGCAAGGTAACCCTACCTGCGGTCGGTAACGCTGCAGCTTGTTGGTGAAATAGACTGACTTGCTTTTTCGGTAACAGACCGACTTACCGGGGTTAGAAATTAACTTTTGTTTGCCAAGGAGCAAGTAGCTGCGGCCAGAGAAAAAGGTAGACAGCGTGTTTAATCGCCCGGGGCATAATTTTTGGAGTTTATTAGGAATGTCTAAATTTCCGAAATTTTGTTGAGAGCAATGCAGCAAACTGGCCCTTGTAGGCAGCTGCTTGCTTCCCCCTGTGTCTGTGCGTGCGTGAGTGCGTGTGCATACGTGCGTGCGTGTGTGCGTGTGCATGCGTGAGTGCGTGTGCATATGTGTGTACGTGTGTGTGCGTGTGTGCGTGTGCATGTGCGTGTATGTGTGTGCGTGAGTGCATGTGCGTGTGTGTGTGATTGCGTGTGTGCATGCGTGTATGTGTGCTGTGTTGATTGGAGTTGGCGGTTGTAATGATTTAATAAATAAATGATTAATGATTAATAAATAGCATACAATAATTAAACAAGTATTAATAACAACACGTAATAAATAACAAAGCGTGTGACGTGATCCCATCCTCAATAATAATAGTATTAATAATAGTAAATAATAGTAAATAATATAGTAGTAATCAATAATAATAGTATTAATAATAGTAAATAATAGTAAATAATAGTATTAATAATAACCCGTAATAACAAAGCGTGTAACGTCTGCTTTCAGTGTGAGCTCTATCATTGGATCGACATTCTCGATCACTTTGACTCGATCTTGGAGAATGCGTGTGCGAAAGCTTCGGACACCGCGTGGATCCTGAGCTGTGACAAAGCCGGCAATGCACAGGTTAGACTCATGCTGGCATTCCTTCTCTTCGTGTTCTCATCCTCCTTCCCAAACTCCACGACAGATGGCGCTCTCGCTCTGGCTCAATTCACCACTGCCACAAGTAGATTTACGTGAGAATTTCTAACGCTTCTTTACCACAAGTTTTACAGCGGCCAGGTTACTCGTATCCTATGTAATAAGATTTGTACTAATAATTGTTGCAAAGATATTCAAAATCCGACCATTATTTTATGAAAAATTTGATAAAATAGTGATACGAAATAGTGCGCGGATTGTGTACCCATTTACAACTTTCAAATCATACGCGGCTATTGGATTGCCATTCGATGGATTAACCCGGAGCTCCGCCCACTTGAAAAATAGTACCAGCCTTGTGGCAGTGGTATTCTGAGTTGTACGAAGGGGGCACTGCATGCAGTTTGCCTCCTCCCCTGATATTTACTGACGGGTGTACAGGTGTGTGTACTGGTGGGTTTACTGGCATGTGTATCTGCAGTGTTCGAAATGAGGAAAAAAAATGACGGACGGACAAGCTACAAGATATTTTACAAGATATAAGCTGCAAAATGTTTGCTTGTCCTGATTAATAACATAGAAATATAATAAATGTGTAATACATTTTCTCAAATTAAATTTTAGCCACCCAATATCTTTACTTTGTAATTTTTAATACAGTTCACTAACAGTTCATATTAGGGCACCAAACTTGATAAGAAATAAAGAATCACGCATTATTTATTATTTAAGTTATTACTTGTTGAACAAAGTTGAAGCTATTGCGTAATAAAACGTTTTGCTCTAAAGCAAAAGCTACTGGAAGCGTCTACTTTTTGCCCTCCGTGGAAATTGACAAGTGAGGACAAACGGTAACGCCGTATTTCAAAGCAATGATCAGATGTTGTACAGTGCTAAAGCTCCCTTCCTCCTTTCCTCCATCCATCTCTCTCTCCCCGGCCTCTCTACTTCCTCCCTCCCTCCCTCCCTCCCCTCCTCCCTCCTTCCCTCCCACCCCTCTCCCTCCCTCCCTCCCTCCCACCGTGTTACTGACGCGTGTTGTGTTGTATGTTGATTGCAGGGTAAGGCGCGTTGCTGCTGCACGTGCTGCACTTCACGCGCTGCCATAGAACACAGCTTCTCCCTCCCTCCCTCCCTCCCTCCCTCCCCTCGCCTCCCCCCCTCTCCCCTCCTCACTCCCTCGCCCCCGCTTCCCTTCCCCCCCCCCCCCTCCCTCCCTCCCTCCCCACCGCTGTACTGACGGCGTGTGTGTGTATATGTTGTATGCAGGTAAGGCGCTGGTCTGCCTCCGCTGCACGTGCTGCACTTCACCGCCGCTGCTCATTCGAGCCACAGCTTGCTCGCGGCGACCTCTACAACAGACATTGAGCCCTGACGACCCTCCTCGCTTCCAGCGACCCTTGGCGTCGCTTCGCCGTCCTCAACCTGCCTTAACGTTGTTCAGCAAGCCTGCTCGAATTCATCACGCGCCTCGCCGCCGATCGCAAGCAGGCGTCTGCTCGCTCGCCTGAGCATCTCGCAGAGGTAGGGGCGCCACCTGGCGGAGGAGGGAGGCGGTGTGGCGGGTGGCGAGGTGTGGGTGGGCGTGCGATGTGTGTTTATGTGTGCTGTATATGATGAATACGTTTGCCGTCGTGTTTGCCAGAGAAGGCTGAGTGGCACGTCGCGTAGCGTGCTCGGTGCCGTTACGTGTTTTAATGTATGTACGAAGTACTTTTGCTGTGTGTTGGCAGAGCTGGTGTGGTGTGCGTGCGTGCATGGCGTTATTATGTGTGTGCGTATGTATGTATTGTATGTATGCTATGTATGATATGTATGTATGTATATATTGTATCCATGTACGTATGTATGATGTTAGGCCCCGATGTTATGTATGTGTTATGATAATGTATGCTGTGCCTGTGTGTGAGTGCTGTCGCGTGCGTGCGTGTGTGCGTCGCGTGCCTGGATGCGTGTGTATTTGTGTATGCCGGTGGTTTTGCTATGTGTTTGCAGAGCTGGGGTGGTATGTGTGTGTGTGTGCGTTATGTCACGAGTATTCTTGCTGTGCTGTTTGCAGAAGGGGTAGGCGTGCCTGGTGCATGCGAATGAGTGTGTATTGTACGCATGTATTCTGCTGTGTATTTTTGCAGAGCGGCCTGGTGGTATGTTGGTGTGTTACGTGTGTGTATAATACGAGTATTTCTATCGTGTGGTATTTGCAGAGCTGGTGGTGGTGTGCGTGCAATGCGAACATGTGTGTGCGTGTGTGTGTGCGTCTGTCGTGCGTGCGTAGCGAGCATGTGCGTCGGACGATGTGTGTGTGTTCTGTGCGGTGTCTCTGCTGTCTGGTGGATGTTCTGTGCATGCGTTGCGTGCGTGCAATGCGAGCATGCTGTGTGTGCTGCGTCCGCTCGTGGTGTGGGCTCGTTGCGTGCGTGTCTGTGCGGTGTGTGCGTGCGTGCGGCTCGTGCGTGCGCAGTGCTGCGAACCACACGCGCAACCAGATACGATCAGAGCCATGGTGCAGTCGCGAGCATGTGGGTGTGCGTCGTGCCGGTGCGGGTGCATGGTGTGTGCGGATGCGTGTCGCTGTGCGTGATGCGTCGCGTGTGTGCGTGCGGTGCATGCGTGCATGCGCCTGTTGCGTGCGTGCTGGCGCTGCGGCGGGCCGCTGCCGCATGTCTGTGCGTCTGTATTTCTGCTGTGTATTTGCAGAGCTGGGGTGGTATGTATGCGTGTGTACGTGCGTGTGTATGTACGAGTATTCTGCTGTGTATTTGCAGAGCGGGGTGGTATGTATGCGTGTGTACGTGTGTGCGTATGTACGAGTATTCTACTGTGTATTTGCAGAGCTGTGGTGGTGTGCGTGCATGCGAGCATGTGTGTGCGTGCGTGCGAGCGAGCGTGTGTGTGTGCGTGCGTGCATGTGTGTGTATGTACGAGTATTCTGCTGTGTATTTGCAGAGCTGGGGAGGCAAGGAGAATGGCTTCGGTCTCGCGGATTGCTGCAAGGAGCAGTCGATGTCCGCCTTCCCCCCATCCGCAACCACCCTCCACTTCGAATACTACGTCGAAAACAGCGAGGAAAAGGCCGGCAAGAAGGTAGAGAGCTTCCTACCTTTAAATCACCTACCTAAAAATTACCTTTTTAGCGGTAGGCAAGAAGGTAGAGAGCAGGGGAAAAATTGTACTTTTTTTTTTCACGGGAGCTTTTTTTCAAGTCTGTGGGAAAA